GAAAAAACTAGTCCAAATCACCAAAACTATTTTAAAAAACATTTTTCTATTTATATCTAAGATTTTAAAATTCAAATCAAGGTTCTTCATAAGTTATTGTAAAGACGTACCTATATGTCTTATGATATTGTGATAATTTTCCCGTACATTTTCATTGGCTTGCTTCTACCCTTTTATTTTTATTATATTAACTACGATTATTTTAAAACTATTCAATATCACTTTGTTTATGTATTATTATGTATATTAAAATTGATGTATGCTATAACTTATAAGCATTAATATTGTTGACTAACCACGTGTCCAAAGATAATAAAAAAACAAATATTGTGGTCTCTTTCATTATTCTAATTTATATGTTATAATTTTTATCCAATTTTTAACTCGATGACAATTTTAAAGTAATCCTACAAAATAATATTTATGCTTCTGGTTGTAGCCAGATGCGATATAAGTGTACATTCAGGGGCGGATTGGGCCACCGGGAATTCGGGAGTTTTCCCGGTGGGCCGCTTTTTCAAATAACTATGTATTCTTAAATTCCTATTAGGTACCAGCCCAGTAAATTTGCATTTTTTTCCGATTTTTCAAAATAAGATAATACGAATTAGATTGCGGACAGTATGTAATAGTAGGTATATCAGGTAGGCAATCTACCTACGGTGGATGCTAACACAAAGATGAGAGACAGGAAGCAAAAATATAATATTTCTCGAAAAGCAAAAATAGCAAATGTAATTTAGCGGGGTCACTAGTTAGGACAGTTAAAATCGAAAACAACCCTTGATATGTTATGTAAAACCACATTGGGTGATCTCTAGGTAACGACAAACTTCGGAAAAAGTCTACTTTACTTGACATCCCGCGGAAGTAGAAAATAGGAAAGGTCAACCTGATTTGAGCAGTAAGCACTGTAATATCGAAAACTAGACAGGGTTTAAATTTACGAAAATTGTTTCATACACTTTTTAATTCAGTATTGTAATGATATGCTCACACACCATTATAATAAACTAAAATCTTACAGAATACCTAATAAATAACGGCCAGACTGTCGTTTGTAGAAATCGGTCACATCAAATAAAACCATTATTAACGACAACTAAGATATCGGCACGCACTCATAACGGTAAAACGCAGGGTGTGTGACTTTATTATACGATGCCGCCAGAGAAAAGGAAAGGAAAAAAAGGGTATCTGCCGCCAAAGAATAATCTAGTTCCCAAGCTCACGATAACCTTTTGATAAAGCCGCCTACCACTCTCTGGTCAGCATCTTCGCGTCATCCCTTAAACAAGTGCATGAGCACCATTCACCATCACCAAGTAACAACCTCCCAAAAAGTCTAAAAAAAACGATTTCAACGAGCGATACTCTGGACTCCTTATGTGAGCAATAATCAGTGCGTTTATTATTTCGATTTATAATTTAAAAAATGTTACTCTGTGTCTATTAAAACCCTTACAAGATAATTCACAAACGACTGCGGATCAGGTAAGGCAATTAATATAATATTTTATATTAATTGCATTTATATATACAATTGTGGTTTATAGTGTATTTTATCTAATTCTCGAAAACACGATCTCGAGAGCCCTCCGAGCACCTGGAGGAAGGTAATTGTTAAGTTTTACGATTTTAATATATTTATCGACAGGTGTCGTATTTTGTTTTATATCGTAATTTTTGAGTTATTACAGTATACTAATACAGTAGTACACGTATTTCGGGTATAAAAAATTTGAGCGTCATTCGTTTGGGCGAATAACCCAAAATTAACTTGAGTAAAGAATATAATATCATTTGGGCGAGAAATTAACCGATCGTTTAGGCGAATTTATAAATTATTGAATAATAGGGAAGTAACATTACGTAGGTATACAATAATTTTTATAATATTTACTATTTAGGTACTACAGCTAAATATTATTATTATATCGTTTCGGCTGATTGGTGAATACAGATAGTGAAGTATAATTTGTTAGATTGTACTAAGACGGAGACAAAACATTTTACTCAATATTATATTACATAAGAATACTAAAGAAAAACAAGACTATACAATTTTTCTGGTTGTTTAGAATTTAAGTAACTACATAATGTTATGTTATGGAATAAACCACAGTAAAACATTTTTTTAGAAATTAAAAATATACACATACATTTTGCATGTTGATTCTGTTAATTTACCTATCAGGTATATTAAGTGGAAGTAAATTATAAGCTTTTATTTAAGTCTAAAAACGCATTATTAAATATTATTGAATAGGTAATAATCTTCCTTATTAAATACAAAAATCGTAACATTAGTAATTTAAATTTTTCACTTTTACTGTGTTATATAAGTACTTGGAGTTTGGACTATTATAAATGTGTAAACATAAACTGTTCAAAAATAAAAATAAATTTGATATCGATGTATAATGTATATACACTACGAATAAAGTTTTATAAATTTCATATCTCACCAAACGTGTACCTAGTTATGTTAAAATAGTAATACATAATAATATTATAATGTTGGCTAAAATTAAATATTTGGTAAATTGGTAAGTGGGCCGGTATACTTTGTATTTTCCCGGGCCGAAATCTCTCCCCAATCCGCCCCTGTGTACATTTATTACACAGAGCACGGTCTTGACACAGAGTTATCCAAGTTAAAAACAAATTATATAGAAGTATAGAACACCAGAGAGTACACAAAAGGTATTGTGTGCACTGTGCAGTCATCGTTAAAGTTGAACAAATGATCTCTTTATATGCATTTAATATATTATGAGGACATTCATATAAATTGCTATTCGGTCTGTTTTAAAATATATTTCAGTCATGGCCGAAGTCATAAGACACACAATAAGAAGCTAAAATATTAAATTGGCATAAGTGGTATACTCAGGTATACTACTACAATATGGTACCTACGATAGTAGACGCTTTTTTCTATATAGGTATTCGTTGGCAGCAGTGCCGTATTACTTTTATGTAGGGGGAGGGGGTTAAAATCTGTGGAAAAAACTTAATTTATCACCTATATATAGGTTCGATATATTTACGATAAAAGGGTAAAGAGCATTTCACCACCATGCATTTTTTGACGATACGGACTCTTACCAGAGTACGACATTCCAATCCAAATTCAAATTACTTGGTGGATATGCCTATGTTTTTTTAGTTACTTATACTCCATACTTACTCTATAGTGTGTTGAGCTTAAAATATAATGTATAAAAATGATCAACTACCCATACGCTGAATTATGAATTAAATTGTAAATATAAACAATTGATTCAATATAAATTTATAAATATGAATTAATTATGAATTATGAATTAAATATAAATTGTGATAATTCAACTCCTTTTAGAGGGTAGGTAATTGCTGTAGTAAGTGCCTGATGTTCCGAATAACCAATGGCAACCAATAATAAATAAATAGGTACTAATTTCTACTACCTAATTGTTTCTCTTTTAACCGATAGCAACCATTTATAAACAAAAATGTCCATCGTAAATATCAAAATCCTTGTTTGATTACCTTCATTAGTTGGGCCATTTAAACCATTCAAGGACCCACAAACAATTTCATCAAAATCGGTGCAGCCGTTTAGGAGGAGTTTGAATACTTAGGTACACACGGACAGAAGAAATATATTATATATTAAGAAGATAATTATACATACTCCTACTACAATAATTCAATTGTCTTTTATTTTCGGATAATTTTTATATTACCTATTGAGAAGTAATAGAAATGTTTTTATGCACTGCTATTACAGCAAGACCATTACGGTAAAAGATTTAAAAACCTATAAATATATAGGAATTTCGAGCTGATAGCGATAGAAATGTTATTTATCGATTAATTATTAACTATAATAAAACTTACTCGGTATAGACCAGTGTAAATGTGATTACAAATGTAAATTGACCAGAGTCAACTGTGGTATATACGTTCGTCTACACCAGGTTGTAGATAGTAGTACTATGGTCACAGAGTTATTCTCATATATATTATTATTAAGTTATTCTGTAATCTGTTGTATGGTTGAGCAATAGTATTTTATATCATAATTCATAGTATTATGATATTATCAAGGTGGATTTACCTTGGATATTATACTTAAGAGTTAAAAAATATCAAAAACTATACTATAGTATTCAGTTGTAGTTATTATATTATTAATATTATATATTATACGGAAATGAGTTATAGTAGTAATAATAATAATAATAATAAACACAATAATAATAATAATAATAAAAGAACACTTTTATGATTTAAAATTTTAAAATATTTGTACGTTTAAACATAAGGTTCTGTTATGTAATTTGTATACCTATACCTACTACACTAAAATATAATATCAGAATATCGGAGACAATAAAGTAAAATCACACGAACGGTTGTTTTCAACATTTAATACTATTCACTAAAATTATGACTACTGTAATATAATATTAATAAGATAAAAATTAATACACTTATAATCATATTATTATTGGGCTATGATGATAACTGGCAAAAAGTAGCATATTAAAAACATTTTAATTATTTTAGTAGGTACGGATCTATTATATAATAATATAACAGCATCTATGCATGCTATAAAAATAATTATTATGATTATTGTTTTACATTTATCTCTGGAAGAGATTTTTTAGTTATTAATTCAAACGAAGATTGAAAGACAAAAGTGCAAGTATAGTGCATCAAGAATGAAATCGAGAAGTCCTTAGCCATTTACCTAATATTATATATAATATTATTATGGAATGGAAATTATTGCTTCCGAGTTACAATGATAATAACAAAACAAAATAAAATAGTATAATATTCCTACAGTTAAAATTTAAAACAACAAACGTACTTAAGTTTAGTTAATAATAATATCAAAATAACAACAAATGCATACGAATCTCGTCACGGAATTACGCAATATTGTGCACGATTACTTATTATTATTATTTTTCTGCAGACGACTTGTATGAATTTTTGAACAGTTATTCCTTTTTAGCGGCAGAGTCGTCCTCCTGATTGTGCTTCGCCAGTGCAAGGAGTATCATTGTCAACTCTTTCCTGTTGATTTTCCCGTCGTCGTTGTAATCCACCCCTCGCAGTATAGTTTCCTCGAAGTCTTGCAAGTCGTCGGCGTCATAATCCTACAAAACCAACAGTGAGTAATTATAACATTATGCAGTTTACCTCACTCTGGTGGGTACCTATATAATATTATAATAACACCTACAATACACCGGTGATGACAATTTCACTAAGTCTACACAGGAGTTCTATGTAGGTATAAGAGGTAGATAGGTATATATAGGAGCCTATATATATTATATATACACTTGCAAAACTGAAGAGTTAATGTAAAATTATCGTTCTGAGAAACTATGCCTAACCAGGAGTATTATGCCTATGTATATATGCATAGCACGTGTAGACACAGGCACGTAATAATATTATAATATTATAAAATAACAGACCTTTTTAACCAGCTCGAGCAGATCCTTTAGAAATCCTCGTAGTTCCTCGTTCTCAATCGTGCCATTGTTATCCTGCAAATAATCACGAGTATATTATATTAAATATATTATATATGGGTGCCATATTAGACTCTTAATTTCATAAAACTCGCAGACGCACTCACGCCACAGTATAATACAATACAATACAATACTATACATTATATTAATATTATAATGTCTATAAAAACTAAACAATAAACGTTAGTTAACGCAAGAGCGCACTCGAGTCCTTTTATTCATTCTTATCGTGTTCATATTATAATCACATTATATATATAAGCGAAAAAGGATTCACCAGAGTTAAGACAATACTATTATTATTGTCAAACCACTAGAATTAAATATTGTAAAAGTAGAACGCTTGGACTTATAGGGTCTTATTGGAGAGGATGATTTGACTAGCACTACCATACTTCTTATCCATCTCAATATTCACATATCCGTACAAAAAGTGACATGGTATTATAGTAAAGACTGCAGTAAAGTTCTTAAGTTATTAGATTTTCAAACAATTCGTGTGCAGTTATGTGTAAATCACGAGACCAAACAATACAATATAATATTATAAGTAGACGAAAATAATGTTTTTAGTTATCATATAATATAATAGTAGTTTTTTTAATACTGGTATACTGGTATTATTCTCTGACGGTTATAATTAATTAAATGGTTTTAAAACTTCCCATTTTATGTAAAAAGTTTGTCAAATAACTTAGTGATAAATTGTAATATTAATTAATTAATTATGTTTAATATTGTAATTTATATATTATATACTTTTTTTTTGATAATCTTAGCTAAACATTTAATTAACTCCGTAATTTATTTAATATTTCATCATAAAATCATGTTGACACAATTCATAAGATTTTTTTCTTAAAATATCTTTTAGTCTACAAGGGCCTGTGTAGTATTAAATAGGTAAAATATTATATGTTTTTAAAGTTTTCACGAAATAATTTCGTAGAAGTCATTTCAGTAAAATCAACTTGTAAAAATAAACAAATAATTTCTGAGTACAAATTAAAATCAGTTTTAATATAATATAACCTGTAAGGTATGATATTCCTGTTTATAGTTTGAGATGGATATTAAATTACATCAAAAAGCATCGAATAAGTTAAAATATGTAAATATAATTTATAAATAGTTACAAGTATAAATTAGTAAAATTATATTATGTTTTCAAATTTCTAATATATTATATACGTTCATAATGTAATGCATTTCATTTATTGCACTTTTTTTTTTGAAACATTTTACTAAATGTAAGCAATCTTGTCTAATGCATGTAAGAATGTAGTTTTGAGCAACAAAATTGAAATCGTTTTGCGAGAATAAAGTTCGATGGAGTTTGAAAATGTTTGTAGGCTATAGGGGTTTTCTTTTTATAAAATACATATAAAAATTGTTTATTTTCTTCTTATTATTATTATCGAGGAGTTTTTGTTCGAAGAATAACCAACATAAACCATGACTATTGGAAATGTTATTATCTCTTGTCGCAAAAGTCCATTTTACAGTACCTACTCGGTTGGTTTAATGTAGTTGTTGCAATGTATGAATTAGTTTTAAATATTTATAATGCATACTCGAAAGTGAGATAATTTTCATCAGAAAATCAAATAATATATAAGAATTATTAAATAACTGGATATGAGAAACGTAAAATATACATAGTTCGTTAGGAAAAAAACGTTTGGCTAAATATGGCCTAAATGGCATTCTTTTTTCTGACTCCATATCGAAATCAGTCACTAAATCAACTTGTCAGCTACTATGCGTACTTTATTCGCTGTCCAGAATATATTTCATTTTTTCGGTATCATAATTTATAGATACATAGTTATCGAGTACCTATCTTTTTTTCCTATTAATTGTTATTGGATAGATATAATATAATACCTATATGTACAGAGTATAGATAATAACATTTATTTTTTGAAATTTCTTATTAAGATAACTTTGAATTATGATAATACTATGACAGTATCTGTCAAACAGAACACTGCCGAATGTCCGAGTGAATTCGGCTACAATGCTTTTATTAACGTTTTTATTAAGAAAATCTTAAAATTTAAATATTTACAAAAAAAAATAAATAAATAAAAAATATGTATCATTGACACTATGTAATTTAATATTTTGTGAGATATAATAACAGATAAGAAAAAATTCACTTCGTTATTAAAATATAATGTAGAACGAAGGTACTATTAAATATGTTTAACGATTGTTTTATGTCTTTCAGCCTTCTCAAATAGACTATCACATAATAGTCATTAACCTCTTTATAATACTATATAATTTAATTTAAAATAAATATTTAAAGAATGGTTTAAGGTTTTTCCTACCACTTTTGTGTCATGTTTTAGTTTTAATAAGAAGCTCGACCGACATTATACAGTTGAGTTAACTGCTTAAGTCTTCGAGACAGGTTACTGAAAATGTACTATCTCAGTTTATTTATTTTTATTAAAAGGTTAAAGCAAAAATAAAAAAGTAAAAAGAACAATTAGCTATCTTCATAAAATTCTATAAAACTATCCACAGTCACACAAATAACTAATATAATATAATATATTTTATTGGACTCTTGATAGTTGTTATACTTATATACGCGTGTTCAAGTACATTTTAAATAATAATATTATTTTATATTCTACAAATTATTATACACTTAAATTATTTAAATAAAGATAAATTTGTTTTAATTCAAATTGCGTATACTTACTCGATCATACAACGAAAATACTCTTTCGATATCATCCTTTGTCAGTTTTGTAGCTCCCTGAAATCAATAAATATTTATGAATATACAATAAGTTTTTATATTAATTAAATAATTAATGAATTATATTATAAAATAAGGGTTAGTTAAGTAAAGTAAGTCCTACATATTAATTTCTTATTTAGAAAATGTTTGTTCTATATAATATAATATTTTCTTTGGTGTTTATAAATATTAAATCATAATCGTAACATATGAAATATTGATTTTCAAAATTCTTTTGACGGTAAAGAAAAAATAAATTTTTGAGTATTTCATTTGATAGTAATTACTTATTATATCAATTTTTAAAAAGTGTACCTATTATTGTATCAAGTAAGTTAGAATTTGACCTATAGTTAAAAAGTAGCACATTTAATCAAATCAAAATTCATTAATTCTATTATATTGAAAGAGTAAATAATATATTATATCAGAATAGATAAGATAATTTTAAAATCAGTTTTATAAACTACTTTTTATGTGTATATTATAAATAAAATTACGGCGATGGTGCCAAAATTCAGACATTTAGAGTAAAAATAATTAAACCAAGTAAAGGTCGTAGGTATTTATTAAGAGCTATACCTATGTTTATCAGCAATTTGTTTGTGTTGACATTTTGCGTGGCTGAGGATATTTTATTTTGAATAAATTTGGTATTATTTCGCACAACACTATTAATTATAATTTTTTAATGAATACTACAGGTAGGTAGGACTTTTCATTAGCAAAACATAAGTTGTTGTTGGTGAATTTCACGTTGTGTTCTTTGGACTAAATTAGTGGCGCATGATGTCTGGGAGCACGCGAAATTTAAACCCTTAAAGGTATCTTAATTATCATCATAATATAAGTTGGAACTTGGATTATTTGGGTTAACATATTATCAGTACTTAAACTATGTGATATAAGTCAAATCCGTGTTTGATTTTTTTCAGAAAATGTTGATTTATTTAAATCAAAGTTCAAAGTTCAAACAAATAGTTTCTGAGTTATTAATATGTACGCATGTTTACTAAGGATAGTAATAATAGGTTCTTAAAAATGGTATTAAAAATTCATAAAATAGATGTAAATAATATTAATTGATCTAGAATTTATGATACTTAGACAATAATTTTTATAAGTTATAAAATATTGATAGATAATTCTAAACTACTGTTTAAATAATCATATCGTCGTAGCCGGAAATTCCACAAACCTAAAATTATATAACCAAACCTAAATAGTCTTCCAAACCAATTTAGTATCATGGACTCATAGGTTATGTATATTATCCTTAGTACATAAAGTTAAATATGTAAATCAAAAACTACTCGATTGAATTTTTATTTAGATACGTTAAAGTTTTCAAAAAAGCCATCGTGGATTACTGGCTTAAATAATTTACATGAGGAAAGGGCGATTGTCGTTTAAAAAATATGTTTGTATCGCCGCATGATGCTCATTATATGGTATAATAAATCAAGGTGTTTGAAAATATTATGATCCTTGAGTAGGTTATCTTAAAAATTTCAAACATCAGAATTATAATAAATACATTAGTAAATGATAAAAAGGGGGTTGTGCATGTTTGATGAATCACTCTATATATGTGATTAATGGTATTTTTTGTACGCACCAAGTAACACATCAATAATTAATGGCCATATTATAATATTGACGTGCGTCGAAATGAATGACATAACAATATAAAATTATACATAATATAACAGGTACGTATAATGTGTGCGACTAATTGACGCGCGTTGACTGATCGCGGCTGATCCAAGCTTGTTAAAAATGTATACTTTAATACAAAAAAAGGCTTTTATTTAGCAATTATAACAGTGTATAGTACAAAAAAAGAATTGTGAGCCACCAAGTACAAATTACAATAACCATATAAAGTACCCGTTACCCAATTATTAATTCACATGTGATTTATATGCATATAAATGTATAATTATATCGAATTATGTTTTGTACACTGACAGTATATTATATTATTTACCACAGAATTAACCAAAAACTATGAATTTTGAAATCGATGGTTCTTTATAATTGTAAATTTAGGATTAGGTTATTTATGATTTTGCATGTTTTTCAAAGGACCTATAGAACCTATTCCTATACAAATTAATTATATAAATTCGTTTCATGATTTTTATGTTCAAAATATCATAATTATTTTATGTTCCTCATGTATTGCATATTGTCCAATTTTTATCTACCAGTGATTCATATTATGGTTTTAATTATTTTTAAGCACACATTTAACAAAAAAAAGTAATTTTAAAGTAATTTTTTAATTATGAAAGTAATTCTATGAAAGTAATTCTTTCAAAGTAATTTTATATTAATTGCATCTGAGTTTGATTAATTATATATTTATTATAGATCACAAGGTTAGGTTATTTCGTATGTACCTACAAATTATCGGTTTCCTACTTCTTGTGGGTAATTTGATATCGGTACCTAAACAAAACTTAGAAGATAAGTATCCAAATATTATGTCCGTTGAACTTTAACGTTGAATTTACTACTTACTAGCAATAAAAAGATGTAGATTCACTGTGGAAAAGTTAAAACAAATCATACCATTGTTTAATGCAACTCTCTTAATTATATATTTAAGTCATATTGTGCAATTTATTAATTATTACATAATATATTGTAATAAATATCATTTTTTTAAAGGTTTTATTATAAAAAAAAATGTTCATTCATATTTGGTTTATTTGCAATGCATTAAGTACACCCCACTTCTATACAATGAGTATTACATCTTTTTTCTATTTTATATAAGGCCAGGTATTAATATTAAGGATTATAATCCTTAGAAGGAAGGTACAATTTAATAACTTAGAAACTAATCGACTGAATTTTGATATACGCTTGAATGCATATTATATTATACAACGTTGTACTAGCGGCTAAGCGCGACAAAATTAAAAATATATGCCGGTGGGTCACGAGAAATGTTTACCAAAAGACGATTATGTTGTTACAGGAGGTACCTATAATAACAAAAACACATTAACAAATAACAGCTACAAGACACAGAGAAAAGACCAAAATTGCGAGCATTATAATAATATAATATAGTCTAATACAGACGGATTTGAATAATATTCCGCAACGACTTATCGTCCGCAACACAGACTGGTCTGGAGGCGGCGTGACGAACGGGAAACTAGGAAATTGAATTTTATTCCGTCTGAAGCTTCGCGTCAAACATAATTTATGAATATAATATGATAATGATTCAGTGGCGATGGTGTCTCGCCGCTGTAGGTATATATAGGAACCGCCTATACATAAAATAATAATATAATATCTCTCACCGGATCGATATTATTTTATGTCATTTTATTTTTTTTAAAAGAGAAAACGCTAAAACTTTGAGCGGCGTATTGTATACGCGTTTCCGCCTATCATATCCGGACCCGATTCAGTAGCACACCATCCCCCCCACAACAAACCTACCCCATCATCACAACAACACCTTTCGACCTCGCTGCTGTATTTTACAGGTACGTGTATCGGACGTTTCGTGATACCCACGATCGCGAGAACGTCGAAAAACGGGAAAAAGACTTGAAATTCGGGCGCTGATGACCTTTACGGTTCTCACAATATACATTCCTTTATAAAATGTAGGTAACATCTTATATATTTAACATTGTTACAGATCGTTTCGGAGACCCAGGAACGTGATAAATATACGTAATATATGAAATTCATATGCACGCGTGTGTTCAGGGAGTCATTTATCAGACATAATATACAATAATAATAATTATTCTTTTTATAAAATTTATTCCAAGAGGATAATGGGACCCTCTGAGAATACCCACGAAGACTTATCCAACAATGCTTTTCTTAATATTGCGTTAGCTATTTACATAAATATTATTATTTACATATACGTGTTGTACATAGGTATTATTATATAATAAATTAATAGGTAATAATAATTTTAGGATGTATAGAAACAAATTAAATTAATTTAAATGATAGCTGTAGCATAATACTATTTTCATTAGGTCCACAGTTTGTCACATTAGTCAACTGTGGGATTTTTGAGGGCACTGATGCTCTGATTTTGATTCCTCTTGCTCGATTGATATAAGTCTTTAAAATGTAAAAATTTCATAACGAAAAATGAATTCCCCAAGAGACTTGAAAAGTATCTATAGAGAAAAGATCGTATCCGTACCAAAAAACTGGGCTTGAATCGTTCCTTATTTTTTTTATGATCGTTTGAAGTGAGTACTTATAGGTTGTAAATTGTCAAGTTTAGCCTAAACTATAATGCCGAAGTCGCTTGTTATGAACGTTTGAATTTCAAATTATGACAAAATTGGATTTTCACACGATTTTTCATCAAATGAAGATATTTGTAAACATTTGAAACATTCCACTATCACTATTAAATTATTATTTTCTATACACAGTGAAATCAAACAATCATTAACGCTAATTTTCAGTTATATTAATAATAATTTTAATTTTTTGCTTCGGAAACACTACCTATATACCCTGTACAATATACAGTGTCCATAATATTGTGTCGTAGCGGTCTATGTATACAGTACGTGTTTCTAACCTTTGTATTATTCTCACGGACGTATTATATGCGCATAATATAATACATATATTATATCAACGAAACCGACCTTAGGTCGAGGAGGGGTAGTTCGCACGGTATAGTTTTTCGCATACAATAATAATAACCGTATAAAATGCGTATTGCTATATAGTACCTATAGTATATATATATGTATGTATTATTATTTTGTTATCGCGGTCGTTTGTTTGCCGGCTAAAGTTAACGGGCAAAATAATACATGTACATACCAGGTATGTCATAATATATATATATATATATATATATATATATATATATATATATATACGTGCATGTACAATGTACATATCTATATATTATGTATTTATATAAATCGTACATATTATATAGCTACAATGAACTCGTTCGCGCGGGCGCCGTGCACTATTCTTTTTCTCGTATATTTATTGTTGACACGCGATTACGGTACCTAATTTCGTTGTTGATTTTTTTTTTTCGTACCCGCCCACGCGGTTCGCCCGATGTACGAACCTTGCACATATCAAGCATGTACAAGACATAATATATATATAATATGTACTAGGTGATTCTTTTATCGAAGAACACTCATTATTTCATAGACCATTAACGTTTTTGATAATAGTTTTTGTTTTACATAATATAGGTACCTACTATTTTAAATAGTTACGAAATGACATTTTCCATATTCAAATGTAGAATATCTTTCGGAGTATTTCGTTTTATAAAAACAAATTTCAAACGAGTATTTGAATAGTTGTAAACTTGTAGGTATATAAAGTTAAGTTTATAGCGGAATGGAAGACCAACAAATTGCGGGATACCTTTGAGCATTGAGCTCTCCACCATGCCAAACTTTAAATACTTATAACTCGTAAAGTCATAAACTACTAGTTCGAAATTCCAAAAATAGTTATTTTATTTTGCTTTGGAATAAGAATTAAAAATATATGTTGTCTTAAAAAAAAGTAAACACTTAAAAAATGATAAACAATAAAAATAGCTATATACATTTTTTTAAATGTTGTTTTGTAATGACTTAAAATTATGCGACAAAAATATTTTGATAAACGTTAATAGTTTTTGAAAAGATGGGTGTTCTTCGAAACATATAATCACTCGATATAGTATTATATTAGATTAGGGCTTCATACCTTTATAGTATTTATAAGTAGGTATATAATATATATTATATTCTATAAGTTGTATGTTTCAATATAATGTACCTACCTACCTAAGTATTTTATGTAAAATTAAACATCAAAAATATATTTCAATATTTATTTTATTTCTATAAAATTAAAAACGACATGAGCTTTTACACTTTTGGGCCGCTAAGAGCTTTTGATATTTTATGTGGCTCTCGAATAAAACAATTTGCAGACCTCTGGATTAGACCGTAGGCGTATATTAAAAATTTTATGCATTAGGTATACTCACTTTGAACACTTGCCGGCACAAAAAGTTCTCCTTGACGGGCAGCAACCTTAACGAGGATAAGGTACAAGATTAGTTTTATACATTCACAACTACTTTGTGCTCTCCGCCGCCGGATCGATCCATAGCAATTATTGAATTATTACATAATGTCATCATCGATATTCGAGGAGGCGGTGGCGGCGGAAACACAGAGCGTTTATTATTTATGGTTCATGCTAATAACACGTGACCAAACACTCACTTGGCCATCTCGGAAAGCTGCAATTTCCCATCCTTGTTCGAGTCGAATACTTGCAACTAGAGAATAAACGTGTACAACATTAAAGTATTATTAGTCGCATGGCGTGAATAGTGTCGATAAACACGACGATAATATATTGTGTACGCCGTTTCGGGGGCAAAATAAATGTATATAAAAGCAGAGCCCGAAAACAAATACACGCGAGATATGCACATAATAACATAGTAAGTTTCAAACGCTACTTTAATTATAAAAACGATGCGTTGAGTATATATATATATATATATATAGTATAAATACCATTGTATCGGTGTATTCGATGAGTTTGTCTTCGGACACGTCATTGATTTTTTTCGCTTCTTTCAGCAAATCCCTTAGAAAGTTCTGAAATCATAACATTAAAATTTAAAAATAAAATATCCCGTCGATATATTATTTCACTTTACACTAGTGTTTACACAGCTGTTTTTATGTAATTTTACAGATTTTCAAACTCATTTGGGGTGACATTTTTAGAACAAACAAAATCTTGTCGACTACTCAGTTTTGCGTCAACATATAATATAATATGAGCGAACGAAAAACCCAAAAGCTAATATTTGTCACCACCATAAATAGGACGGTCTTATCTAAACGGTAAATCAAGCTAAAAGCTTCTGATTGATTGCAATAAAGTGTAGGAGTATATACACACTACACTCGTGTGCTGTGTCTATATTTGAATGTTAACCGTTTTGTTCTCATCTTTTGTTTACTTGAAAGTCGAAAAGTTTCTATTTTTACGTGCCGTTTAATATACAAAATATTAAACATAATACACAAGTATATTGTATATTATGATATACATATATATATAGGTACTACTAAGCATGATTACCTCCTTATCCTTTTATAATAATATATCTATTCTAATTCTGGTTTTTAGAATTGATTAGTAACTTATTTTCATACACACATTTTATTTTTTGAATTAATATAACCTTTTTTTACTGTAAATATTATTAAGAAGAAGATCTATGCAACAAAATTTAAATTCGATCAAGTATTATATTTTATTTTTCGTACGGTAGGCCTAGAACAAGTGGTTTCTGAGTTACTAAACTTTATACAATAGGTTCAATAATATACCAGCTAGGTACATGAAATATTAAATATAAAATATAATATTTAATATTTTGTTTAATATTTATATTATATAATTTGCCATTTGGATATATTAACAAGTTTTAAAATTAAGTATAAATTAAATTAATTTTTAAATCAACATAGCCTCATATTTTTCCGTTATGGTGGCTATTATTTTTAGTATTTAAAGTTTAGTAAGCCACAAACTGCTTGTACGAATTTTGATTTAGACGCATCAACATTTTCGAAAAAATATATTACTTACTTACTACCATTTACAGTAATAAAAGGCAGTTCTGATATTGAAAAAAAAAGAAGTTTATGTGCTGTTTCACCACAGGATACTCTTCAAACGGTATAAAACAATCAGAGCATTTAAAAATAATATGATCCTTAAGTATACTCAAAAATTTCAAAACCATTTTTATTTATTTTATTAAAACGTTGAATATTATTGAGGGTGTAATAGTTTAAAATAAAACCACAATTAGTGTGACGTGAAACCTTTTAAAAAATATAATTAATTATAAAAGTAAATACGCGTGTAGTATTGAGTAATAATGAGTAGGTATACAACAAGACGTGAAAGATCATTAAGTATGCAGTAGGTACATACCTATATATCATGTAATATATTTTGTAAGTTATAATGTAATAGTAGGCATAAATGCGCAAAATTACGTTGAATATTGTTTATAGGATCAATTAATTATAATTATCGGCTATAAAAAAATGTTTCATTATTTTAGCCGAAGTAGTGTTAAATAATAAATATTGAATAATAGGTAATACGCGCTTTTATACAGGGTTCCTTTTTGTAAGTTGCTGCTTTGATATAACATATTTACAAGATGCTAGGATAGTGTGAATTTTGAAAACCAAACGAGACAATATAAAGGTAACATCTCTCATAGACTCAATAAATAAAATAAATTCGTATTAGATTCCGGACGCAATATATGTAGAGATAGCTGCTATTGATTTTACAGTGATGTATGTTTTTTCTTTTGCTTTTTTTTTTTTTGCAGAAATCCATTTTGTGAACTATACGAATTGTCCAAATTATATTTGCAGCTCTATACCCGTATCAAATATTGAACGCATGTTGTACTTTAAGGAGTTCATTTTTGGCAATTCCGAGCAGTTTGAAAACGCAGTCAAGAAATAACAAGATAAAAATAATAAAAAAAAACGGCGAATGCGTGATTTCAACAAAATCCCGACCACTTTTTTGTGGATAAACGTTACTTAAATTTTTTTCAGACTCGCTGATTTTAAATGTATAACGGTGATACTATAGCTTGCACTGAGTTGTATAAAATGAAACAAGTGGACCTACACAATAATTCTATAGGTAAGTATTTCAGACATTTTAGTATTTGTATCCACCCGTATCATAATATTGTTACATTTCCTTCCTCATTTCAGAACGTTTAACTTGGTTTATATTTTATTCATTATAAACAAAACGTGCACCTCTTTCCTTCTTTCATTCTCCATTGTTTGTTAAATGTACAAACTATTATTAAAAAAATATTATAATTAAAATTTAAGACTCTCCGCGATGAGATTATTATGAGATTATTATACTCAACGTTTTTGTACGTGCATCAATCTTAATATTGGGCTACTTGCACAGGATTATTAGTTATAAATTATAACTATAGTTTAATTTTAGATTATGGGATGGCAAAAGCGTATTTAAACACGCGCGGATAATCAGTTCCATTACTTTGGATCAAGCATAATTATTAGTAAACCATAATATTGTCCGATATGGTGAAATATATAATATTATTATAATTTTCAGAGAAATAATTTCTCGAAAGGTGATAGATAGATACCTACTATATAATAAAATAGATAAATATAAATAGGTCATAAATATTTTACTTAAAAAAAAACCCTTCTTATTATTACATCTAAAAATGACATTTTTGTGATTTTATTTATAATAGTTACATTTATTTTATGTTAATAAATTAAGTTAAGATGGTTGTATATTCGGTTTTAAAAAGTTAATTATATGTAACTTTAGTTTATAAACATATTATTAATTTTATAATTAATATTAGGTAAGGATTTTCAACGAATTTTAGTCTTAGGCCTTAGCGGGTTGTTAATATAATTTATAAGTTTTTTTCAAAATAATTGAATAAATTGACATAGTAATATTGTCAATTGAATAGAATTTTCAATTTTGTGTACATTTTGCCAAAAAAAAAATATATAACTTATAATGAATATGTTAAGTGGAACAAGGCTGCTATTGTTTAATGATTCGATTATAATTTGAAAATTGTTAACAAGCTGAAATTATTATGAACATAAATTTTTTATTTTTTATAATAATGTAAATGATGAATATAGAAGGTACGATATTAAATTTAGAAACTATTCATAAAGCATATTAAATCCAATTATAATTCGTAATTAACACAACTATATTATAGCCGATGTGAATTAACGACGTTGGCATATAAATGCTATTGGTTTTTATTGTATTATGATATTAGTTTTGTTTTCAAAATTAAAGTTTAACTAATATTATATTCCTCGATTAGAGTTGAAATTATATAATTTATTTCTGTATGTTGTAACATAATAATGCAGTAAGTGTATTTGTTTTAATTAGGTAGTGTATAATAATCTAAAATTCATTACATTTTGTGAATATCATTGATAAGAAAATATTCGTGGTAGTCTTAAATGGTTAAGTACATTTGATTTAAGATCGTCAAAAAAAAAAAATAGGACAAACCCCTTAGAAGATTACTATTAATTAATGTATATAATATGATAATAATATCAAATATGATATGTAATACTATTGGGAATCGGGGTCTTAATAATCCCTGTTAAGTTTTGTATCAATAAACATTATTGGTTCCTGATAACATAATTAATTATATTAAACTATAGGAATATTAAGATTAGTGAGGGGCACGGCCACGTCCGTGATCGACGTCACCTTCTACCGCGGCCTGGACGTCACTGGGTGGCAGGTCCTGGAGGCTGACTCCCTCAGCGACCACGCTTACGTCAGCTTCAGCGCGACCCAGGAGCAGCCCGCATCGGTACGACAGCCACCGCCTCACGAACCGCACCGAGGCTGGTCCGTCAGGCAGCGGGATGCCGAAGCGCTGGGTCAGTACTTCAGCTCCACCCACCTGGATCCAGTCACCGGCCCAATGGGAACCGGCACGGCCCTGGCCTCGGCGAGAGCCATGGACGAATATCTCATCGGAGCCTGTGAGGCGTCGATGCCGAGGAGGAGACCGGGCCCCCCGAGGAAACAACCCGTTCACTGGTGGACCACCGAGATCGGGGATCTCCGCCGCAGCTGCCTGGCTCTCCGAAGGGTATATCAGAGCGCCCTGAAGCGCGCCGGACAACCCGGAGTCCAGGCAGCCAGAACGGACTACTCCGCCGCCAGGAGAAACCTGCGACGCAAGATTGGAGAGGCGAAAAGGAAGTGCTGGTCTGACCTGTGCAGGGAGGTCGACACCGATCCATGGGGCAGGCCGTACAAGATTGTGATGAGGAAACTCGGCACCCGAAATCCGGGAGCGGACTCCAGGGGCAGAGAGGCCGAGATTGCCGACACCCTGTTCCCCGCGGCTCCCGTAACGAACTGGGACGAGGCCCCCTCCGTGGCAGTCCACAATATGTTTGAGACGTTCGACCCCGCGCGTGACACCCTAGAGCTCACCAGAACCATCCCGCGGTTCACGAGAGACGACCTGACGAAGGCAGCCAAGAGACTCTCGCTGGGGAGAGCCTCTGGACCGTCTGGCATACCAAACGAGATCCTGAAGGCGTTCGTGACTACGGATCCAAGTAGCGCTCTAAGGGTGTACAACGACTGCTTGCGCGCCCTCACCTTCCCGCCCTGCTGGAAGAGGGCCCGACTTGTGCTGATCCGCAAAGGCCCAGACAAGCCGGCCGAGTCGCCTTCCAGCTACAGGCCGATATGCATGCTGGACACGCCGGGGAAGCTCCTCGAGAGGCTGCTCCTGCAGAGGCTCGAATCACACCTCGATGCTAACGGGGGAAGAAGGAGAGCCTCGAACCAGTACGGTTTCCGCAGGGGAGTCTCCACGGAAACAGCCGTAAAGAAGGTCCTGGACATCGCCGCGAGCGCCGCCGATGGGACAGGCACTAAGGACTTGTGTGTGCTGGTAACGCTTGACGTTAAGAATGCGTTCAACTCCCTTCGGTGGCCCGTGATCGATGAGGCTCTTCGGAGCAAGAACACC